AAATTAATTAAATTTAATTAAATTTAATTAAATTTAATTAATTTAATTAAATTTAATTAATTTAATTAATTTAATTAAAATTAAAATGATAAAATTATGATAAATAATAAAACAATAAAACAATAAAACAATAAAACAATAAAACAATAAAACAATGAAACAATAAAACAATAAAACAATAAAACAATAAAACAAAATAATAAAACAATAAAACAAAATAATAAAACAATAAAACAATAAAACAAAATAGTAAAACGATAAAACAATAAAACAAAATAGTAAGGTATGACATAAAAAAATTAAGTGAGTGCAAAATGGAGACAATTGACCAGAAGCCCTTGACCACTAGGCTTCATTACCACAGTAATGCTCACCAGTGCCTCATTAGCTTGCCGAGCTTCATCTTCCACCTCAAAGAGGCGTCGTTCCAGTTCTTCTTTGGCTCGCTCGGCTTCCTCCCGCAGCTGCTTCTCCCTGGCCAGCCTCTGGTGCTCCATCTGAGGGAATGAGCAAGGTTGGACATCTGCAAGAACTGCACAGCGGAATGTAGCCAGGCTCACTTTGTTCTGGTTTTTCCAGTCCCCCTCTTATATTGCATATTTTTCAACTCTAACCTCCTAGGGGCTGGGACCTATCCTTTGCAAACCCTATCCCGTCATCTTGCAAATCAATCTGCCAAAAATTAACTGCAGGTTTAAGTTATTGATTTCATATTTATTTTCTAGTGTGGGTTGTTTGTTTGTTTTTACTGTCCAGAAATACTTCTTTGGAGTAGACAAATCTGCACAACAGAAAAAAGAGAAGAAGGAAATCCAAATTTTTTGTTCCTGATTAAAAAAAAGAAAGAAAACCCACGTATTAAACTTCTCACCATTATATAGAGAGAGGGATTCAAAATACATCAAAATCTACTTTTTTAAAAAAGGTCCTTGCCTCAAGAAAAATGCATAGCATTGCCCTTTCAGATTCTCTTCACCAGGTGTAAACAGTTTATTTTAATGCTTTTATTGAATATGTACGTATGTTTAGGCCACACGTGGAAGTTAGCACTACAACAGGCACAGACTCCAAAGCAGTGGTGGGTTCTGGACCCCGGTGCAGCCGGTACGCTCTGCACGGGGCCAGGCGTCCTAGACGGGCATGCGTGCTGTGCGTGCATGCACACACCACCGCCCTGCGGCACCCAGTTGCTCGGTGGAGGTCACGCAGATGTGCATGCTGTGCACGCCTGCACAATGGGCCGGTCGCAGTATTAAATGGCCATGGAATGTGGATGGGCGGGTGGGCTCAATGAGCCACCGTACTGGTACGGTGGCCGCTTCTCCCGGATATTCCTGGTACGGCCATACCTAGCCGTACCGCTCAAAGGATAGTTAGGACTGCAGAAAAAAATAATTCCAGCCAGCCTACTTTCCATAGAAGACCTGTATATTGTGCCAGTCAAAAGGAGACCTGCGAAAATAACTACAGACCCCTCACATTTTGGACATAAATTATTTCAACTCCTTCCCTTGGGATGCTTCTATACAGTACTACATATCAAAACAACTAGACCCAGGGGCAGTTTTTTCCCTCATGCGATCACTCTGCTGAGTACCTAATCTTCATAGTATTGTTTTATGTCTAAGTACTCTATATTCCTCCATTCTGTATGACTGTAGAATTATCCTTCTCATCTTCTCCACTATTGGCATCATTATTATGATTCTTTTATTGATATCATTATTATGATTATTATTACTCTTTACTTTGCATGTACACTGAGATTCTGCATCGAAGAAAAATTCCTTGTGTATCTAATTAAGAGTCACCTTCTTTCTTGCTTTCTCCTCTCTGGCTTGAGCTTTCATCTGCTGGATTTCAATGGGATCCACTCGCCTCCTTCTCATGAACAAGTCATGATTTCCAATGAAGAGTTGCATGATCTGCGAGAAAGGAGAAAAGAAAAATGTCTTCCTGGAAATATCCAAGAGAACTCCAGTATCCTGTTTCCTTCAGTGGTCTATCTGATGTGTTTGGGAAGTCCAGAATATAAACACAATTCTTCATGCATTACGCCATAATACTCAGCGATGTAGTAATATCTGTCTCTGAAGGGAGGGAAACTCAATTTAGTTCTCCAGGTAAAACTAAAATTAATCTGATTGATTTGGTTTTCAGCAACTACTGTCTACGTGCCTCAGGAAAATATAAAAAACCAGGATGCTATAGGAATGCTATATTATCAGCCATTCTGATAATTCTCATTATTTCCTGTTAAAAGGTCCACTGAAAACCTCCATATCAGAAGTAGATTGCTTCTGGTTTGACCTGGATCGGGTGAACAGGTAGTAGCGGTGGCGGGAGGCTCCACCTGCCAGACGCTTCTGTGCATGCGCAAAAGTGTGAGCACGCAAGTGCGCCTGAACCGGTCGTAAAAAAAATTGGCAATCCACCACTGCTCCATATCTGTATTTGTCTTGGACCTTACATTACCTAGAAGACTGTTTTCATTTAGGACTGGCATAATGGAGAGCTACACACATATATTTTTAAGTTGATACATCTCTAGGTTAATGAAGGAACGTACAGAACTTGGATATAGCTGAGCACTACCCAGAGCATAAATGGAAGGGTAGAAATGTGCATGTTCTATCACTTCCCCCTCCTTTCAGATTCCCTGGGCTTCCAAATGGATCCTTCCTCTTTGGTGTTTAGAAAATCTCTAAACACAGCTGTTCCAACACGCCCTAGGAATTGAGAATGATTGGTCCTTCTACCAATTGATAATAGCAGTAGCAATAGCACTTGGACTTATGTGCCACTTCATAGTGCTTTTACAGCCCTCTCCAAGCAGTTTACAGAATCAGCAGATTGCCCCCAACAATCTGCGTCCTCATTTTACCCACCTCGGAAGGATGGAAGTCCTTCCTTGAGTCGTGAGATTTGAACTGTAGCTAGCAGTCAGCTGTAATAGCCTGCAGTACTGCACTCTAACCACTGTGCCACCTTGGCTCAGAATAGAATAGAATAATAATTCTATTTTGTTTGACTACTATATATTCCCAGTCCTGTGCATTTTGCTTCCCCCCTCCCTCCCTCCACATTTTTAATCCGTATAATCGAAGTAGGAAGTTTAAGATAAATAAATCTTCACCTAACTTGGCTCTCCTAGCTATGGGAAATGGAGCAAGTCTTATCCTGCATATCTTAATGTTTAGATAGATATTGTATATACTGAAAAACAAACCACTCCCTCATTTGCTTCCTCACAATCATTTATGGCTTTAATTGTTATTACTAAAAATAAAATCATTCAGCAACACCTAGGCCAGTGATGGCAAACTTTTTTTGGCTTGCGTGCCAAAAGCAGGGGGAGCGGAGGGGGTCGTGGGCGGGCGTGCCACACCCATAATGCTATGCTTGGGACCACAGCACACATGCATGCATGACCAGCGCTCCCATTTTTTGGCGTGCTTTTTTTCGCCCTCCCCAGGCTCCAGAGGCTTTATAGGAGCCTGGGAAGGGCGAAAACACCCCCCCCCCGGGAGGACCTCCGGAGGCTTCAGGAGCTTCCCTGAAGTCTCTGGAGCGCGAAAAACCGGTCCTACGGGCAAACCGGAAGTTCGGGAACCAGAAGTCTGGTTTTAGCCCTCTGGAGCCTTCGGGGGCCTTCAGGAGGCTTCCCTGAAGTCTCTAGAGGGCAAAAAACGACCGTACGAGCAACCCAGAAGTGACTTCTGGTTTGCTTGTGTTGTTTTTGCCCTCCGGAGCATTCAGGGAAGCCTCCTGAGGGCTCTTGAACGCTCCAGAGGGCTAAAACCGGCCCTACGAGCAAACCAGAAGTCTGTTCCCGAACTTCCAGTTTTCCTGTAGGGCCAGTTTTTAATGCTCTGGAGGCTTCAGTGAAGTCTCTGAAGGGCGAAAAATGGCCTCAAAAGAAGGCCGAAGTCAGCTGGCCAGCATGCACAAGCCTCGCATGCCCTGACAATGGCTCTGCGTGCCACCTGTGGCACACATGCCACAGGTTCGCAATCATGGGTCTAGGCAGTCAGAGCAATTCAGTGTCACATGATCTCTGTTCCAACCGAGCATAGATTGGTATGGTCAGGCCACTGTCTTCGGCCATTATTATAATGGGGCATGTTTATAATGGGACAAAAATGGGACAGAAAGAAGAGAACCACAATTACATCAACACTGGCAGGGCAAACTACCATACATAAACAGGGAGCAAACCACTCCCCCACATTCACTCACACTGATGATGTTACCTAGTTAGGTAATGAAATGTCTACATGAAGAAAACCAAGTCAGACAGCACCAAGGACTCCACAGATAGTCTTCTATGTAAGAAAGCACTCACCAGTTTATTGACTTTAGGCTGTGAGGAGAAGAACTTGAAAACCTCGGCTTTCTTGTCAATGGGCTTAATTGTAAGCTGAAAGAAAAAAGGAGTGTGGTAGTTTTTTAAAAAAATGATCATTATATACTAAGTCCATGTACAAAATTTGTTTCCACTAGAGACCCATGGATGTAAAGTATGACATCCTATAGCAGTGATGGCTAACCTATTTGTCCTCGCATGCCGAAATCATGGGCACATGCCCACACCCACAATGCAATGCGCTCCCCTGCACATGTGTGCATGACCCCTCTGCTTCCCCATGCATGTGCGCTCCCCCTGCGATCCCCTGTGCATGCGTGCAATCCCCCATGACCTCCCCGCACATGCGCGCAACACTCCCCCCAGTGCCCCATTTTGGTTCTAGTAGGCCTCCCTAAAGCCTCCTGGGACCAAAAATGGGCACGGGGGAACGCACCACACATGCTTGCGCTCTCTCCCGCCCACACACATGCACCCCACCCTACCCCACACACTTGGGCACGCAATCTCCCCCGTCTGCCCGCCCCCACGCATATGCGTGCGTCTCCCACATGTGCAACAGAGACCCGAAAATCAGCTGGCTGGTGTGAGGCACGTGCATGTGATGGAGCTGAGCTGGGTAACGTCTCACATGCCCGCGGAGAGGGCTCCGCGTGCCACCTGTGGCACACGTGCCATAGGTAGATTCATCATCACGGTTCTATAGCATTAAAAACAACCATTCTAACAACACAATGAAAAATAGACATAGTAGAAAAAACAGTTCTATGTTTTTCATAAATATGTAGCAAAAATACAATGAAAAACCATCGCCTCTCCCTCTCCCGCCGCCACCGCACTGCCAGTCTGCAAGGGCGGAAAGGTTGGGGACCGCTGCCGTGGCACATCCCCCTACCTCTTTATCAGAATAAGAAATATTTTGGATGCTGCTCCATTCAAAAGACTTATTTGGAGAGAAACGGTTATTGATGCTGTAGACATGAATCCCTTTGGCATCGACCCCAAGCAGGAAGTCTGTATGATTCTTCTTTTGCTGCGGAGAAGTCCAAGGTTAAAATCAATATATTCATCTTGTGCACTGACTAGCCCTGCTGAAGTTATTTTATTTGGGTAATGAAACATCTGCAAGAAAACAATCTACTTCAGAGAGCACCAAGGATCCCTCATTTCAACCCTGGGCTACAAATATTCTCCTTTATTGGTTAATATATTCACTGTCTGACAACAATCAATTGCAACTTATTTTGGCCTAAAATGCACATTTCACAATTCCAGATGTATGGCACAGGTAGTCCTCGACTTATGACTGCAACGGGGACCAGAATTTCTATTGCTAAACAAGGTGGCTGTTAAGGGAGTCACACTTCACAATTTTACAACCTTATTTGCCATGTTTCTTAAGGGAATCACTGTAATTGTTAAAGTGAATTACATAGTCGTTAAGTGAATCCAAGTTCCCCATTGACTTTGCTTGTGGGAAGCTGGTTGGGAAGATTGCAAATGGTGATCCCTGACTCCAGGACATGGCAGACATCGTAAATACATGCCAGTTGCCCAACACCTAAATTTTGATCACATGACAATGGGGACACTGCAACAGCTGTATGGTCAGTGGTGGGATTCAAAGAATTTAACAACTGGTTCTCTGCCCTAATGATTTCTTCCAACAACCAGTTCACCAAACTGGTCAGAAAGTTAACAACCAGTTCTCCCAAAGTGTTGTGAACTGGCTGAATCCCACCACTATGTACGGTAAGTGCAAGAACTCGTCATGTCCTTCCTTCCTTCCTTCCTTCCTTCCTTCCTTCCTTCCTTCCTTCCTTCCTTCCTTCCTTCCTTCCTTTCCCATTTTGCAGATTA